CGACCACTCCTTATTTCGGAATGAAAATGAGAACATATTACGATGGATTTTTTTGACAAGCTTACCCCATACCCCAAAAGGTCATGACTCTATTTGGGTAATTGTTGATCAATTGACGAAGTCTGCTCATTTCCTGGCTATTAAAACAAATTTTTCATTGGATAAGTAAGCTCAGTCATATGTGTATGAAATTGTGCATTTGCATGGAGCGCCAATATCTGTTGTTGCAGACTAGGATCCAAGGTTTTCTTCTTGATTCTGGCCAATTTACAATAGGCTATGGGTACTATATTGAGATTTAGTACAACTTTCCACCCTCAAACGAATGGATAGTTAGAGTGCGTCATTCAAATCTTGGAGGATATGTTGAAAGCTTGTGTGATAGAAGTCAAGGGTAGTTGGGATGATCATTTACTGTTGATAGAGTTTGCCTATAATAATAGATTCCAGTCAAGCATTGGCATGGCACAGTACGGAGCTATGTATGGTAGGCAGTGTTGAACATCGATGAGTTGGAGTGACATGTGTGAAATGAGGATATTACATCTTGAGTTTTGGTGCAAGTGACTGCAAAAAAGGTGAAAGTGATTAAGAAGTGACTGGAAATTGCTCAAAGTCAATAGAAAAGTTATGTGGATAACCGACGATGAAATTTGGAATTTTCTATCGGTGATAAAGTGTTCCTACGAGTTTCACCGTGGAAAAGGGTTATGAGGTTTGGTAAGAAGGGGAAGCTAAGTTCAAGATATACGAACCATTTTAGATTATTTGAGCTAATTGGAGCAGTGCATATCGTTTGACATTACCACTAGACCTATCACGATTACATGATGTTTTCCATGTGTCGATACTTCAAAAGTAAGTACCTGATCCTTCCCATGTGTTGTCAATGAAGCCTACAGAGTTAAAGGAGGATTTGACCTATGATGAAGAAACAGTTCCAATTCTGGATCGTAAAGAGCAAGTTAAGTTTTGCAAAGAAAAACCAGCCAATTAGTGAACGTCTATGACGGAGTCATGCAATAGAGGAAGAAACCTGGGAAAACAAAGAGCTTATGCGAGCAAGATACCCCTTATTTGTTCCAAAATGGCTAGTTAATTTAGGGGACAACATTTTTATTAGAGCGAAAGAGTTGTGAGACCCAAACATGCATTACATGACATTTTATTTAGTGTTGGGGTTTAAAATGTGGTTGATTAAATTTTAGCTATGGCGTTGGTTTGTCATTATTGAGATTGTGGCAAGTTGAGTAGTAATTTGATAGCAAATTTCGGGATCGAATTGTAGGATAACGAAAAGTTGGGTGTGATCTACAAGTTGAAAAATTAAAATAAGAATTATGTGATAAAAGGAATTAAGAGGGTTCAAAAATAATAAATAGCAAATGTTAGATGAGTCACTAAAACACTTGGCAAGCTCTTAAACTGCCAGCCTAGCACTTTCGGTTGAGAGTGAGAGGGAGTGGGGAGCATTATCTTGGATGCACTGATTTCTCTAGCCTGGGAAGAAAAAGTGGAAAAACTATGGAGAAGCTCTTCAATTTTCGATAGTAGATCCGGCATGAAGTATGGATAGTTCTTGCACACTTGAAACAAAACAACCTCTTATCCTCCATAAATCCCATAATTTTCTCGAACTCCATAATTGTTGTTAGGTTCAAGCTCTTAGGGTGCCTTGCATGTAAGTGGAGCTTCAAGGATTCTATGTTTGTTCCACTCAGGAATTTTGTTGAAGCTATGGTGGATAAGAACCTCTTGTGGGTAAATCTTCATCCTTTAAAAGCTAGTGTTTGAACTTTCAAGTCCTAAGATATGAATTGTTAGATGTTTAGAAGGGGTTGGGAGTGGAAGAAACAATGGAGAGAGGTATTAAAACCAAGTTTCGTAGCTACGATTTAGGGAAGAACCAGTACAACCATGTATTGTACCGATACAAAAGGTTTTATCCTATGATGAACCAAAAAGTTGTACTGGTACATCGTTGAACCGGTTCAATAAGGTTGATTTTCTATTTTTATCACAAAAACCTCTAATTCTTTGTCTGTCCATTCCTAAATACTTCCAAAACATCCTATTGAGTTAAAAATAATTCGAAATGGATTATCTTATTCATAACTACATGATTACTCGATTCTAACATGCAAAGGTAGGATGTTAGCAAAAGAGAGCCTAAACGCTAAGGAATGATATCATGGGAAGGAATTAGCAACGTATCAATAAAAGCATGAGAGGGTACTCACATATGAACACTTATAATATAATGTTTGCTTGTGAAATATTAAATGCAGTTGTGACAACGCATTTAATATTAGGTATGGTGGCATCTACGTCATCGACCATTCCACCTAAAGTACTAATTGGAAATCGAACTTGTGGTCAAATCTAAACCAAGATGAGTGTACTAAATCACATATTTTGATTTGACTTGTGAATGCTATCTATTATTGAAGTATGAATGTTGATATGTTGGCTCATGATGGTATGGTGATTATGTTTACAGCCTTAAAGGCAAATATTGCCTTAGTGGCATTATATGGTATGACCTTAGTGGCAACGTGGAATAGCCTTAGTGACAAATGTGATAAAGTCTTAGTGGTGAATATGATAAAGCCTCAGTGGTGAATATGATAAAGCCTTAGTGGCAGATGTGTTATGGCCTCAACAGGGAATATGATAAAGCCTTAGTGGTGGTTATAATTTAGCCTTAGTGGTGGTTGTGATATAGCCTTAATGGCAAGTATAGCCCTACTGACAAGTAATAATATTACCACATCATATAAAAACAAGCATGACAACATTTATGATGGTTTCCTGTGCTCTATGTTTGAGATAATCTAATGCTTTTATAAGAATAATGTTACTCCTTATTTGTGAACATAGATTCACTGAGCTTTTTGATGCTCACTCTTCGTAGTTTATATTTCCAGGTACCCCCTGAACGAGAGGAGTCCACTATTGAGTCTAGGTGGCTAAGAGGGAGTCAACCTTAGAGTTTCTTTTGAACATGTGGGGTTTTGTAATTATATGGTGTTAACAAATATTTTTTCATCAGTAAACAAGAAGTATAGCAAGGAGTGTGCCTGTCTATGTATGTTTAAGACTTAAACTTTACTTTCCTTACTAATGGCCAGTGTTTGTATACTTTGAGGTGGGGCATGAAAGTACTACTTTGAGGTTGGGGTGTTACATAGATTGTCACACCCCCAACTCGGATCACATAGGATGGGTGGCAGACCAGCCACCAAGGCTTTAACCAACCAACCCTGTTTATAATAAATACAAAATACAGTGAAAGACAAATAATTAAGTGATCCTCCACTGACTTAATGAATATCAGAGAAATAAACTAAACATCACCAACATCAGTAGCAAATCAAAGTAAAACAATAATTAAATCATAAGGTTCACTATTCTAAACAGAAACAATATTGTTACCAAAACAATTAAACATTTATCTCAAAACTATAAAATATATTTATTTCTGAAGACTTACAATAAAATAAATTTTCAATTCTTCTAATCCCTTGTCTATCTGTGAACTTACTCCTGATCCTGATCCTCACCTGAAAAATATTAAATATTTGTATGAGCACAACGGCCCATGCCTAGCAATAGGGGTGCAACTTTGGCAGGTTGGGTGAGAGGTCAACCCTAGACAAATCCTAAGTATATAATGTTCAACCTTAACTCTAACCCTTACCCTACCTTAATCTGAAGTACTCAACCTGAGTACTACCCGAGTTTAATTCGGGCAGGCTCAGGTTGAATTCGGGTTAAAAATTGGGTTGACTTGGATTACTTAATTCAAGTTGATTTTTTGAAGTGTAGATTTGATTTTTTGAAGTGTAGCTCTGATTTGTTCAAGTATAGATCTAAGATGAAGGATGAGGCGCATACGAAGAGAGGGAAAGTGAGAGAAGGAGGAGTGACGAGTGAGAAAGGGAGAATGAGAGTCTAAGACGACTCAGACGAGTGACAATTGAGAGAGGGTAGCTAATAGAGAGATGAGTGACGAGTGAGAGAGGAATTTGAGAGTGATAGAGGTGTAGGGGTGAAAACTTGGAGTAAAGTGAAGTGAAATTCTAGACTCTAAAGAGTGAAGATAAATACTAACCCTAATTATATATATTTATATATTTATGTTTATTCGCGTTCAACCCAATTTAATACTCTGGTTCAACTTGATTTTAATATTCAGGTTGAACCTGATGCCTTAATCCGAGGCTTGCCCAAATTAAATTCGGGTTAGAGTTTTTTGCTCAGACCCAACCCAAGTATTAAAAATTTCAACACAAGCCCTATTTTTTTCATGTTGGACTCGGGTTGAATTCGGGTTAACCCGCCCAAGCTGTACCCCTAAATAACAACCACCTCTAATGAGATGTGAAAATATGTCACATAGTTTATATACGAAAATAAACTTTAATACACATAAGTACAACAAATTGTATCCTAACCACTCCCACACAATCATTTAAACAAAATGATCTCATAATCACAAATAACTTTATAAATGAAAAGACCCAAAACACTCACACACACATTTAGTTTCAAATTCATTTAACAAATCATGTTTGTTATCACTAGTCTGGTAACTGGTTCAGTCTCTTGTTACTACTAGCCTGGTAATAGGTCCAGTCTCTTGTCATCACTAGTCTAATGGCTGGCCACTATGTGCAAATCCCTATACTGATCACACCTGTATACAATTTTGTTACCATTTACATCTAGTAACCCAGTTCCCGTATCATAAACATGATTTTTACACATACCAAAGCTATAGTTTTAGTCCCAACGCACACAAAATTTCTATTTCATCACCAAAGCAATGATATAAAATCATCCCAAAAAATTTCTAAAATTCACATGTATAACAATTCACAATTGTAAAACATTTAATTACAATCCCAAACATCAACACATATGTCATATATATGAAAAATTCATACGCACACACCCACAATTTTAATATAGAAAATCCTCCCCTTCGCTTTTCAGACCTCATTTCTTGAATTTCCTTCTCGACTACTTCCCTTAAGTTACTGATTCTAGTAAGTTCTTTCTCCCTCTCCTCCTCATTCACTCTCTCCCTTCTATATAGCCCTTTTTCTATTTCCTCTTGCTTGTTATGCATGTCTATCTCAAGATCCATTCTTCGTAACTCAAAAGCACGAATCAATTGGCTATGTTCATTTCGAGCTTTTTCTGATAAAACTAATTGTTCATGCCTCATTGTGGCGGCAAATGATTCTTTCTCCACTTCAACAACATCCAACTCCCTCTTAATGTAATCTTGTGTGGCCAGTATACCTTTTCTCAACCATTCTTTTTCAGAATGTCGCAATTTTTCTAGCTTCTCTTTTTCTTCATTAAGTTCTCTTAGCTCTCTAGTAAAAGCAGCTCTTTTTTCAATGTCTCAGAATTCAATGAAAATTGAATGCCTAGGTCAATCTTGAGAGATGAATCTAACGGTGAGGTCCATTTTATCATCCGAGTTATCTAAAAAATCAGATTTTTAACAAGTGCTTAAACGACTTAATTATTGTATATACCCATTTAATTGATGTATAAAATTTTTTAGGTTTTACATTATTTTAGTTATTTATTATTTTTTAATGTCTACAGTTATATCTTCAACATTGCTCAATGAGAAGCAAATTGACTTGTTGGTTCAAAGTATAAGCCATTTTTTCGATTCAACTGGCTATAAGAAAATAGGGAAACTACTCGAAGTATGTCGTTGCCACCAAATGGCTATGAGAATCACCATCTTCTTCAGTAGCAACAACAGAGCAACGGTGAGTTTCCCCTCCCTCCCTCCCTCATATCCACCATATTCACATCAATACTGTGATTCTTCTAAATGCTTTCCAGAATACCTATCAAGGCTTTTATTTTATTTTCTTTATCTTTTATTTGGCTGTGGTTCTATGTTAAATTTCTAGTTTTCAAATTTCGATTGGGGTGATTGATTGTTGTTTTTACATATTATGAACACGGGTGGCGAAAATCAACATTTGGTTTTACAACTTAAATTAACATTTAGTTGGGAGGTAATTTTACCTTTGAAGGGTTTTTTTCTCTCCCCGCAGAACTTGGGTGCTTATATCAATAATGTGACAACGTGATTCGCGATCTTCAATTTGATGTTGAAATTTGGTAGATCTTCTCATCGTTCTTCACAAGGATCAACTTAAAGATGACTTGAAGGATCTCTTGAAGAAAGATATTGGTAGTGTGCTCTTCCCTCAAAAATGGATTTGCAAGACTTGATCTTTGTTTCTTGAGATGGACTTGGGCAGAGCTTCTTGATCTTCCCTCCTGCTTCACTCCTCTTGACTTTCTCCTCCTTTTCCCTTTCCCTTTGACCTCTCCCAGACTCCTATTTATAGTGCTGATAGTAGTTATCCATATAAGGGTATTTTACCTAAATACATTTATATGAGTTTAGGTAATGATGACTTGTAATATTTGGGCTTATGGAATTTAAATAAAAAATTTGAAAGCCGATACAAAAATTTAGACTTAATTAAGCTAAACTACATTAAAGAAACTTATTTGACCCTACATGCATTTTCTTGAAAAATGACTAAAAGACCATTCATTACTCCATTACTCCATTACTCTTTCTCTCCATTATTCTTTCACTCTCTCTTTCCTATTTTCTCTCTATCTCTCTCTTTCTGTTACTATCTCTATCTATCCCCTATTCTCTCTTTGTCCCCATTGATAATTTTTTTTTCAAATATATAAAAATTTGATTTAATTTTTTTATCTCTCTCTCCCTATTTTCTCTCTTTCTCTCACCCTCTCTCCCCTTATTTTCCCTCATTGTTACTCTTTCTCTCTTTTTATCTCTCTCTCCCTTTATATCCACATTACAACAACACAATTACACAAATTAATTACAATTATCCTATAATACACTAAATAGTTACTCATGTATTATAATAAATCAAACAATTACACCAAACAATTACAACACTAACTCAATTTCTCATTCAGTTATTTATATAAACCTAAGGGTTACATCATTTAGTATTACAACATAGTTACAACAATTATATACATCAAATTGAATTTATCATTACACAAAAGAGTTTACCATTACACCAAATTTGGTGTATATAATTCATGTAACTATATCGTGATTCTAAATAGTATAATTCTTTAGTTTATTTAAACAACTGAATGATATATTGAGTTAGTGTCGTAATTTTGTGTAATTATTTGGTGTAATTATTTAGTTTATCAGAACGCGTGAGTAACTGTTTGCTATATTATAGAGTAACTATAATTAATTGGTATAACTAATTAGTGTAATTATATTGTTGTAATGTTGATATAAAGAGAGAGAACAAGGTGCGAGAGAACAAGGTGAGAGAGTAATAGTGAGAGAATATAGGAGGAGAGAGATGAAAAAATTAAATCAAATTTTTTACATGTTTGAAAAGAAAATAAATTGTCAATAGGAGAGAGAAAAAATAGGGGAGAGATAAAGAAGTAATGGAGAGAGAGAAAATAAGGGAGAGAGACTAACAATGTGAAAAATAGGAGGAGAGAGAGAGTGAAAGAATAAAAATTATGTATAATATAAGGAAGGGTAAGTAAGTAAAAAAATTCAAATGTCATTTAAATTTTGTGCTTAATAACAAGATGTTTTATTTTTTATTTTATTTTTTTTTAAATTTGTTTTGGGGGGAAGGAGAGGGGAGGGAGGACTTGAACCCTTGACCTCAAGAAAGTAAAACCTTTACAAGGTAAAAAATACCATTGGACCAAAGGCCCGTTGATCAAGATGTTTTATTAAAATTAAACTTAATAAAATAAAATACTTATCCATACACATCATTTTAATAAGTCTAAAAAAATGCATCCACACCTAAAAAATCCAATTTAAATCCATAATAGTTTAATTAGAAGTTTGTCTAATTAAATTTGTGCTTATGAAATTTAAATCCAAGTCTAGTTTAATTTTAGAAGCGAAATAAATTTGGGCTTGTAATACTTTGATTTTATGGAATTTAGGTCCACCAAATTTAATTTTAATAACTTATTTAATTGATCTGCCCTCTATTAGACATTCTTTGATCAGCCCTCTATTAGACGTTGCTCAATGAGAAGCGGACTGATCCGTTAGTTCAGAGTATAAGCCATTTTTTCGATTCAACAGTTTTCAAATTCAGTTAGGGTGATTGATTGTTGTTTACATATTATGGACAAGGATGGCGAAAATCAACATTTGGTTTTACGATTTAAATTAACATTTAGTTGGGAGGTAATTTTATCTTAGAAGAATTTTTTTTCTCTTTCCACAGAACTTGGGCGCTTTATATCATTACTGTGACATTAGGGGTCTAAGTGTAATTAGCCAGAAGAGGTGTTTTTTTTACTTATGGTGGTGTTTGGATAATGGGTTAAAGAGGGTTATCAACTATAGAGTAGGATAAAAAAGGGGATGAGATCCATATAACCCTTGTTCGGGAATTAAAAAAAAGATGGGATATAATTTCCAAGTTATCCGATGACCTGGTTGCTATCGTGTATTTTAACCCTACACTGGTTAAATGTAACCCACATCCCTCATGGATTACAATCCTAGTGTAATGACATATTTACCCCTTTTGCCTCTCGTATTCCAATTCTTCTCTTATCTTCACCCTTGTTTAGTCCATCTAGGTTGAGAGCTTCTGTGAAGGCAATGAACTGGGAGGTAATTGATCTCTCTCTCCTCTGGACCGAACAAAGAAGATATTTGGTTAGATTTACATCCGCTCACGTGTCTTTGATGAACAGTTCTGAATTTGTCTTTTAAACTCTTACCCCTATATCTATATAATGAACTGTTTTTGAATCAAAGACAAAGAACGACTTAGTTCATTTTAAAATAAAATAAAGACATATCTAACGAACGACATAATCTCACTATAAAAGTCATCTCACATTTATTGACCCAAAAAATCACAATGAGTTTTACAAAAAAATTCCTCCCTGTAACACTTGTCATTTTGTGTACATAAAATTACGCGTAAAATAGTCCCAATGCGAATTTTCTCTCTCCCCCTCTGACGCCCGATTATCCCCGCTCTCTTTCTCTCCATCCAAACGCATTTATCTCACTTCCCAATCTTCTTCCTCTCTTCCCAAGTTTCCTTTCCAAATTCTACGCCCAATTTCCCCTGTCTCTGTGCCGTCCTAATAACCCCTCTCTCTCTCACCCCCCAATCTCAGTCAAGCCTTCAACAGTCGCCGTTTTCTTCTCTCTCAGGCCATCGTCATCGACAGCGGCCGCTGGACAGCCACCGCCACTTCTAGCACCTATTTCAGGTATCTCACGCATCTCTCCCTTCTCTTGCTCTCTCTCTCTCTCTCACACACACACACACACATTGTACACTGTCGTAACCCCACCCGAAAGCTCCGCACACCAGCTGTTCGACGAATTGCCAAGTCGAATTTTTGGACGGTGGGATCATGGATGCCAGTTTTTGTGTGTCTGTTTACTTCAACAGGACTACCGAAAGTTTTCAGCTTTCGTTTTAGTGAATTCTGGAGTACTCAAGGCCTTGATGTTGTGAGACAATTGTGCGTTTTTATTCCTTAGGTTTGGCATTTGAGATTCTAATCCATAAACGCCAAGCAAGTCAACTTGGGTGTTACTTATTGACGCTAATCATGTGGTCTGTTTTGTTGCCTGGCTCGCACCACTCTCTGGGCATTTCTTGGAGCTATCAAGAAGAGGTTAATTTCGGCAAGGAGTAGGTCTGGCAAGTGAGAATTTTTTTTTTTTTGTGAACTTACAAGTGAAAAGTTGGATAAGGGTAAATTGCTGCTCAAATTCATCAAAGGCTTCTTATCCTCTCTGATTACGTTGTGCCTTTTGTTCAAGCTCTGTTTGTGTCTACTGTCTAAGTTTTGTGTTTCTTTGCTCCTAATCCAATATCTGGAGAGGATGTTACTTTACTTTGGCTGCTCATATATCAAGTACAGAAATATTAATCCAACCGCTTATGGGTGTCTATTCATTAGTCGTCTGGCAGGAATGTTGTGAGTCAGGTCACTGCCTTAAGCTATAGCCTCAATTTGATCGCTTGCATAAAGATAGAGAAAAGGCAGTGTGATTGGAATTGTATAAATGTGAATTTATGCATCCACTTTTCTAAACTTGCAAGGCCTTTGTCTTTTCATTGTATTGTAGTTAGCTTTTTGAACAAAAACTTACATCTTTCATTTGTCCTTTTAATATATTATGTTTGCACCAGTAATCACCTTCATTCATGATCTACTTTTGCAATAATTTATTGTGATTGCCGAGGTATCTAGCCAAGTTTCGAAAACGCTCTCCAAAACATATGCATGTGTCTTATTTTATTATTATTAACCAACAGGGTTTCTAAATATTCAAATTTTTCCTTTTATTCATTTCAGGTTCAGATATTAGGCATTAAAAAATAACGGTTTGAAGGCAAGGATTGTCTTGATTTTGGCTGCCACAATTGGTTAATTACTAATATAATTGTTGCTTAGTTATTCAATAGCATTTTAGTTTCAAATTAAAATTTTATTGGTTCATGCATTGTAGCTCTTCAAAATGGTTCAATGGTTATTGTTATAATACTAATGATCTCCTTTAAATTTGAAGTTGCTGAAAGTGCTATTTACCATTAAAAATGCTATTAACTATTACCACTTCCGTTTTTATTTTTTATTTTTTTTTATTTTCACATATCACACAGCACCCAATAGTTGTGCAAGAATCAAATTTGCTCAAGAAGCCATCTTTTCTTCAGCAAATTTACAATCCATTTTGTTCTGAACTTGAGTTTGTAGATATGGTGAATAAATGGTTTTTGGTTTTGTTAGTGCTACTCACTATTAGTTTGCATCTTAACAAAATAACATGCCATCATCCAATTGCTACTGCTATGGGCTATTGCTACTGCTGCAGCTACGACATCGAAACCACACTTGGTCAAAGTTATTAACATATTTTCATACACTCAAATTAACAAGATTATTCTTATAATCTTTTACTTTTCATATTAGTATGACACAAATATATCACTCTTTCTCAATAGAATATGAGCAAAACTGTGTCAGCTTAACATCAAATAGCTAGCACAAGCTGAGGCAACGAGCGTCTTGCACCCTCTGGCTGATCACTTTGCCACAGCTTAAGGCTCTGGTTCCCAACCTCTGAATCATGAAGAAGAACAGTGAGCCATGTGTTGAAATACTCGCGAAATCAAGTTATTTTTTCATCCCTGAGAGACCACACGTGAACCCAATATGCTTTCAATATTAGCTAGACAAATGCTTTTGGCAACACAACACTAAAATGACCCTTTCCCCTTTCTTTCTCAACTTACGTTTCATTTTCCTTCATCCTAACTCCAAATACGGAGACAGGTTTATTGGGTTTGACAGATAGTTTAAGCAAACAATTAGGGTGAGGCTAACATTGGTGGGTGATGCCGGTCGAAGTGAAACAGTTGACAGGACCTGGAGAGATTTTCAAGAAGGATATTGTTTCAATTGAATAGTTTTTTCATCCTTTTCTTTTTTTCACAAATCTACCTTCTAATTTAATGAATATTTTAATTAATATTAAAGTATCTTTTCATTTTTGGATTAATTTACGCTATGTAGTGGATGCCGATTGTGACGAATTGGGTGAATGCACATTCTTCATGTTCGGTGACTCTTAGAATTTTTTTTTTTTTTGAACGTGAATTTGTTCATCTTGACACCTTGAGAGGCAAAGATTTTTTCTTTTTCACTTGGAACATTGAGAGGCTTTGATTTTTCTACTTATGATTTTGTGATTCTATTCTTATTCAAGGTGGTGGGCTCCTTCAAACTTTGATGTTCCCCAGTCGTGCCTACAATATCTGCCACTGCTGATACTGGCCTTGATGTGGGTTTAAAGCACATGGTATTAACTCTCGGGTATTTGTTCTCTTCATGTTCTAATTTCTTTTTTATTGTATATATGTTGGATTTAAATAGTTTCATATTTAGTAGATTTATTAGCTTAGATTTTATTAAATCTCATGGCACAAGGTACGCTATGGAATATGTTAGCTTTGGGAAAACAACATTAATTGGATTATGCGGTTTTATTGCTCTTGAAATACTATGTACTTTTGAATTTGGGTTTTTATTATGGTACTAGATGTTGTGAATTAGGTGTAAATTTTCTTTTATATGAATTGAAATAATTGATGCAAGATAGCGTTTGTTTACATAAATGTTTGATTTTGAGCTGTACACATAGTTTGATATTTCAATTGGATCATGTTTTGAAAAGGAAATCTATCGATTTTCTTTTAAAGATAATAGTTGGTTTATATCAACTATTGAAATTTTGTTTGTTACACCAATTATTTTGATCTGAGCTTCATGTGTGTAGCCACAACTACATTTAATATGTTGTTGGTAGTAGTAGTGCAAAACAAATAGTTGAATGTTGAAATAGTTGATCTTGGTATAGTGAAAGGTATATTTTTCAATGTCCTCAACACTCTTTTATTTGGTATGTTTAATTGTCAACAATTTTTTTAATACTCAGGTATAGACAATTACTAGTATATATATTATCTATCTGTATGTGTGTGTTTATATATAAGTTGAGTATAATATATTTATAATATACGGGCAATGTACCACGTGCGTTGCACGTGAATAATTTTCGTACACAAAATTAATAAAGTATTAGGTATATGTGTACTTGAATTAATTATCATCTTAAATTTATGAAACTTATTTTTTCATCGATCATACTTTACCGTGTAATTATGAGAATTTTGTGTATTCCCAAGAATTGTTGTTTTAATTATAAGAAAAAAGATTAAAATATAGTTGAAGTTCTATTTTTTTTAGAATTTTTGTAATTGATTGTGATATTTAGTGATGTTTGAAAAATAATTTTTTTTTTGAAATTCATTTGGTTAGGATTCCACTTATAATTCATTAATAAAAATAATGTAATTAGGAATTAGTTAGGTATATTCGTATAAAATTAATATACTTCTTCATGGTATATATATATATATTATAAAACATATTAAAAATAAATTATAATCTATTTTCACACAAAATCTTAATACAACTTGAAAAGTTTATTATAACTGAAGAATTATGCTTATGTAATATAAATTGATTTAAAAAAATTATATATATGATTAGTTTTATTCTAAAAATGAAAGGGTTAAATTTTTTGGTAAAAATTGAATATATATGTGTGTTGTTTTGGAGGGTGTGTGGGTGGGCTCAATGTTATATTTTCATATGAAATGAGTAATGTTATATTGATTGAGTTTTTGAAGGGCTATTGAACACTTTATTGAAAATTTTAATGGTGCACATATTTTTTATGGGTAATATATTCAATCTAATGTTTTTTTAAAAACTGATATTTATGGAGAATAGATTAGTAAAAGAGATGTTTGAGATAATTTAGAGATTTAAAAACATAAAGATTTAATAGTAACTTGTACTAGAGTACCATGCACCATGCACCATGCACCCTTGTGGAGAGAAGAAACATCAGATGGAATGAAAATTTGGAAGGTCAAATTACTTCTCGAAATAGATTGCACAATTTCAATTCTTACCCTTTTTCAAACATAAATTTAAATTTGGATAAAAAATTCTTAAAAACCTTTTCTAATTCTATACCCAAATTCATATCAAATCAAAGGAGACTAATTTTTTTTACTCGAGAGATTTATTTTTTTACTCAAATCAAGGTATATTCAAATCCATACCCAAATTTTTAATAGTAAGATTTTACCTTCTTTTAGAAATCCAATAGTCATATTTTACGCTCACTTAAATTTGGGTTTATCTTTCTTTAAATTTGAGTTTTTCTATTAGAGAGGTTTATACTAAATCAAGTTTTTTATCCTTTTATTTCCCTCAAATTTGGGTAAGGGTTTGGGTTTTCATTGGAGATGGTCTCATGCAATATTTTCAAGGGTGAGATGGAAATTTACTATGTTGGATACCAAGGGAAACAACATAGTGACATATCTAAGTAGTGTATTATAAATTTTTCTGCTTCGTTATCAAAAGTAGCTTCCAATTGGTGAAAAATTATAAGCCACATTGGGGCTTGGATGGTGAGCAAGACCGATGTTCAAGAAGTTGGTCAAATTTCACATGGAAGGAGGTAAAAAACAACAACAAAGATTACACACTGTTGCTTATCAAACGTTTCACTTCTCGAACTGAGTGCGTGGTAATCACTCTGATGGTTGACACCTTAGAGAATTTAAAGTCCATAATCCTAGTGGAAAAAGTTGAAATGACAGGGACTACTTATGATGCCCCTGGGATTGAGCTTTTGCAAAAACTAGTGATTATTAATTATTACTTTGCACAGGTAATGTGTGCCAGAGTCTCTAGTGTGGAGCAATATTGTATCTGCTTGTTGTTTATGTGGAGCAATAGTATACAAATGAGATGCTGTTTTTCAATTTGTAGGTGTGGAAAACAGTATTTGAAATGAACTCGAAAATGAACATTGAAGTTGGTTGGTATATTCTTGGTGAAGACCAGCAACCTGTCGGCCCTTATGCATTATCTGAGTTGCGTGGTGAGTTTAGCCATCTATATGGCAATCATAGATTGCAGTTGCAAGTTTCATTTTTGAAACTAATGCAGGACATATTTCCTTCAATTGTTGTTTGGAATAAAGATATTTCTGGGAGTATGGTGTCTTCTCTTTCATGTTCATAGCTATTTGTGTCTTTTTCATTTGTTTTTTCAATTCACTATCCCCTGAATTCTCAGATGCGATTTCTGTTTTCCTTTCCTCTTTCTTGGATTCCAGTTCTACAAGTAACCACCAATAGATATGGTTTGGGGACAATTTTTCCATCTGAATCATGTTCAAATGGTCTTACGAGCTATTGACCCATGACACATCTTCTTAAGCTTGTTTACTTCGACTGGACAGAGCATTTTTCAAGTGGATACCTTTTAGAAAGTACACTTGTATGGTCTCAAGGAAGGAGCGATTGGCAGCCACTCTCCTCTATCCTGGGCATTGTGACCGAAACATCTCAACAGGGTACTGATGATCGCATTTCAAAAATAAAATATTTCTTGCCACTTGTATTTTCTAAATCATGGCCCTCATTGTGAGCTGAATTTTGCAGTGCCCACACCCTCCAAAGATGATGATGAGTTCGAAAAATGGCAAAAGGAGTTGAGAGAGGCACAAGGAGAGGCTGAGGTGTTGCCACATAATCCTACTGCAGGCAATGATGATTATGAAAGGCCTTCGACACCTCCTGAGGGCGAGGAAGAGTTCACTGATGACGATGGCACTGTGTACAAGTGGGATCGGGCTCTTAGAGCTTGGGTACCTCAGGTAGGCGATTGGAGGTTTGCTCTAGCCAATCAAATTTTTTTTTTTGGTGGAATTTTCCTTTTGGATCTTGCTCCTTACTTCTGCTTGGAAAGTCTCTACCCTTTTCCATTCTTTCTTTCTTTTTTCTTAAATAGGGAGTGTTAAGATAAAATGCTCAGATTTTCATGTGAAGCATGTGAAGTTTTGTGTACTGTATTAACTGGAAAGCGTACGATAATATCATTTGAAAATCAGCCTGTGGCTAATGCTTTGGCTCCTCATTTAACTAAGCACTTTATGGGCAATACCCATACATATGGAGAGAGTGCATCATATGATATCATTTGAGGTTTCTTAATTTATTCCATCAATGGGAATGGTATTTTATTGTCCACAGTGCTTTTTTCATGTATACTTAAGTTGATTTTTTATGTTCTTTTCTATATATGCATGAAGGGCACCTTTTTGGAATTCAAATATAGTATTGGCTAATTGGATTTTATGATAGGAGAACCCAACTACAACAAATGAGCAATATGCAGTGGAGGAGATGATTTTTTTGCAAGAAGAGGAACTTTTTCCAACCCTGAAAGATGACGATGTCTCTGTAAAGGAAGAGGTCAATGATACCAGTAAAGTTGTGGAAGCAAAGCGTGATGCTAAGAGAAAGTCGCCTGATAAATCTGCTGAGAAAAAGGTTTTATTCTTTTCTTTTCTTATTTCTATTTTTTATGGTTTAGCTTATTAGATATACTTTGTTTGTCGGCGGGATTTCTTTTCAATTTTTAGCTAAAGGCTGTGCTGAGTTGTTTTGCTTCTTTTTTGATGCTAAAATTTTTCAGAAATCGTGGCTATTATTGTTATTATACCATTATAATTATCACACAGTTTGATTTTTCTTTCGATGGTAATACAGGACTTTGTAGTTGCTTACTTGGAAATGCATTCTTCTTATTATATGTCATGATAATTCTTTTCTTTATTCAATTCTTCTCATACTTTTTCTTCTGATTCATTTACAGGAAGCTAATAAACCTCCTGATAGTTGGTTTGAATTAAAAGTTAATACACATGTTTATGTGACTGGGTTGCCAGATGATGTTACGTTTGATGAGGCAAGTTATGTGTTATTGTTCTTGTGATTTCGATATTTCAAGGGGTTCGTACTGTGATTCATCTTGCATGCATGTCAAGATATTGCATATGGATCGTTTTATTTGCGAATACCCTATTATTTGTCATTGCATGACTCTAATATAGGAATACCATGCAGCTGGTGGGAGTATTTTCCAAGTGTGGGATAATAAAGGAGGTAACAAGTTTACTATTTCAATTTTTCTTTTCCTCAGCAGGAATTAGTTGAATTTTTAAGTCATAATTCATGTGTCTGAACTTACTATGACATGAGGAGCATGCTCTCGGCACTTATTTTCACATAAATCATTTTTGAGTTATTGTAGTGTACATGCTTAAGTAGATTTTAATATCTGTTGCCTAATATGAATAAGCTGCAAGCATAGATCTTTTAGAAAACAACACATTGGATGTTATGGCAGTGATATGTAATTGCTAATACTACATTTTTTGGTCTTTTTACTCACTTTGCCCCATTCTTTGATGCATCATGCACGTGCTTGTTATTTAATAAAATTTTAGAGAAGATAAGCGAATGCTGTGGAGTTATAAGGAATAAGTGGACCCTTTTGAAAAAGAAGTTATAGACAAACTAGAAATCTTGTAGATCAATGTGTAACTACTTGTACACTTCCAGACATATGCTGGATGCTTGAACAAGAGTAAAAGTTGTTCACACATATATGCCAGACAATTTAGATTGTTTAGCTTACCCTCTGGAAATTCCAGCTTTCCGTGAAAATACCTAATAGTACAAACTAGTATGGATTCTATTGTGGAATTTATAAGTGAAGCACTAGGACGTGATGGAGCCTAAAATTGGAATTGTACAACTCAATTTAGTGGTTCGGATTTCACACAATTAATTATTTGTTAAAAACAAATTTCACTTCATATTTTTTTTGGATTTCTAACCAAAGAGAAAAAAGCTTCCAGTAAATAGAAAACAGCTCATTGAAAGTGGTTGTTGATTTAAAGTGAACCAACAAAGTTATCCTTCCTCCATTCTAATTATTAGCTTCTTATATTCTTTTGGCACTGCCAAGTCCACAAATTTAGGTGTCAAAGTTAATTTTATTAAGGAGCACGAGTGTTTTTCCCCTGTTATTTGGATTTTGAAGAATTCTGGAAGATGCAGATACCTCGGATTTAGACTCACCTCTTACTATGTTTGATAATTTTAAGCTGTCTTATGAGTGATTGGATAAAAGGAGCTGGATCATTTTTTATGGCTTGGCTTGTAGTTGTAGTCTGTTAGCTTATGTAGTCGTAGGCCGTCCTACACGCATGCACCCGGGTATTTTGTTCTTGAAAGTTTTAGGGGGGGGGGGAATATATTACTTAGCATCTTCTGCAACTTCAGTCACTGAGGACTTTAAAGGAACTGATCTCTTTTCACATTTTGGCAGGGTGGAATGCTTTGTGTGATTTTTAGTGAGCTTTTATTTTGGGATGCAATGCTTACTTGTCTACCTTTTCTATTGTGTATCTTTACTATCTTCTGAGTATTAATCAATAAATTCAAATGTCTCTTATGTAAAGATATTTGATATTCTAAGTTTTACACGTGATATATACAAATACAAAACAAGAAAAAAGAGGCTAATTACAACCCTTTAAAAAAAGTTTACAATTGTGAAAGAATTCAATGATGACTTCATTATGAGTACTATAAACAATGTCTTTTATGTACATACAATCAAGTTATAGATTGATGACCTTTAATTTCACAGTTTATTTGACAAACTATCTTCCAAACATTATCATTAAGGTATCAAAAATAGCAAAGTCATTAAATGAGAACCAACGAGGTAGGCAGAACATTACAATTGACACCTGCTTAAAATATGTTAATTAGCGGACGTAGAAAAATAAATGCAGCTAGCCTCTGAAAAATAGAGGCCAATTACAGGTTAATTGCTAGCAAATTTTCGTACGAATTAAGAACATAGAAATAGAAAAGCTCTAAATGTGTAAATCAACGCTGATTGCAAAAAGCTCGGAGACATTAAACATTGTACACATGCAATTATAGACCAATCACAACTCATTCTCAGAAAAGCACTATCGAAGCATGTAAGTCATAGGGTGGACATAGTAACATGTATTTGAGTAATGTCCATGAATCAGGTGAAGTTTAGCATTGCTTTAATTGGGTGAGTGCTTTTTTATTTTGCCAGCATGATTTTTAAGCACTTTGAATGCACCTTTTGCCTGTAGCTCTGCTCGGTTATCTTAAAAAAACCATCACTCAGTGTTGCTTTGTAGGATGTGAGTTGCTAGGATGGCAATTTACAGACTTCCTTCAGTATATTCTTCTTGGCTTCTTTTTAATTGTAACTACCTTTGCTATTTTTTCGTGTATCAGTGATGTCTGCACATCTTGTTTCTAGCTATACACTGAATAGTGAACCTAAAGTTTTACCTTTTTTAAACTTCTAGGACCCTGAAACCAAAAAGCCTCGTGTGAAGATCTACGTTGACAAAGAGACGGGAAGGAAGAAGGGTGATGCACTTGTCTCATATCTGAAGGTACTTTTTCCATTGGTGTGGTTGTGAATGTGACATGTAATATTGTTGTGTCTTCTTTATAAGGTTTTGTTATGTTTACTCTGTATTAGGAACCTTCAGTTCCTCTGGCCTTGCAAATTCTGGATGGGACACCTCTACGGCCTGGTGGCAAGATTCCTATGTCAGTTACTCAAGCTAAGTTTGAGCAGAAAGGTAAACTCTGTGCACTGCCATGCTTTTCATTGGAACACTTACATTCAATGCTGGATACAAGATGAATCTAGCTTTTCTAGAAACCTATGTTATTTTATTGATGAGTTTTTATTACCCTTCCCAGGGGATAAATTTATAACCAGACAAGTGGATAAGAGAAAGAAGAAGAAACTTCAGAAGGTTGAACAGAAGATACTTGGCTGGGGTAAGTTATCTACTGTCCAAAAATGCTTTTGTTGGTATGAAGTTGGGACTTCACCTTTCTAGAATGCATTCCTGTTCAATTTTAGCAAGAGTGATCTTGTCTTCTCCATACAAATTAATGTATTCTTGAGCCTTAATCTTATTTCTCAAACATTTTTGGGACATAGTGCGGTGTATGTATGTACTTATATTTGATGTTACCTCTGGTGTTCTAGCGAGATGTGTGATTGTGCATGCACTGCTGCCAGTTTTGCCTATTTGGAAGAAACATGTCTTTGTAGTTTCTTCGCTTTTGATGTTCGTTCTGATTATAGGCTTACATTCGCAAGGAAACAAAGCTTAGTGTTTCTTATTTGTAGAAAGACAAAATTCTATAGATTAGTTTTGCAACATGTTGCAACTTCTTGTTAGAATACTTGCAGGGAAATAAATTATCTTTAGAAAGTGAAATAAATTCTTTCGGTCACCACTGTACAAATGTACCTTTCATAACATTTTTTGAACTGTCAGATAAAAAAAATGAGCAAGATGTAGAGGTTTGCTGCAACAAACTAGGATTTCTTTACTACTAAAATAGAATGGACTTCATGAGCTATGAAGCACGGATACCCTTGAGAAGGTGACGCATCCGTATCGGATATTGGCACGCTCGGACACGTGTCCGATACTCTTTTATCTGTATCCATAATTGAATGATATATTTTTAATTTTGAAAACTTTTATGACACTTCTTTAGAATGTGTCTACTTGTAAACAAGAGACATGTGTTGAAATGTGATTAACAAAGTTTAAAAATTTGAGAATATATAATTACTGACACTAGACATGTTAAAGTTGTACTTCAAATATAATAATAAAAACAAAATATGCATAAAAATTTTAAAAAAGAGGAATTGAAAAAATGAGAGCAATTATTTAAATTATATATTAGGTACACATTGTCTACAAAAAAAATTGATGAATTATTAACTATTATGAGGATATTTTAGTCTAAAAATTCACACAGATGACAAGACATTAGATTTACTTATCATAAAATATTTTATGAATTGTATATCATTATTACTATATTTGCAATAAATTATATAATGTTATATATAAAATATATATTTTTTTGTAGCGTGTCCCTAACGTATCCGTGTCCTACTTTTTAAAAAAATGTCGTATCGGCGTGTCCGTGTCCGTATATGTGTTTCTTAATTCATGAGATTTGACGTGATTATGCGGACACCCCTCAAATTGAAAGAATGACAAGGAGGCCCCAATCATTGGATGGCATTAACATTTTCAGCATAAAGACTACTTGACCATCATGTAATTAATCATAGTTGAGTAAACGAAGATAGATTTGGATACATGCCTAGATCCACACCTAGTCCCGTACCAGTCAACTAAGAATTGAGTCCCCTCCCCCAAATGGACCAAACTTGTAGGTATCTCTCTCTTTCTCTCTCCTCTCCCCCATATCTATTCTATTCAAGAATTGGCCTAAGATTTCCGGTGTTTGCTATTTGTTATCACCAAGAGAAATGAAACTGTTATAGCATCCAATACAAAACCAATTGGCAAAGAGGGAAATAGCTCCTCAAGTCTATAAATCAACGTTGGGTGGTTCTAATTATTCCATGGAGGATAAAAGTTCTCTTTACACCTTCCCTCGTGTGGGATCTGGGCTCGCGTGTGGGGCTAACTGACAAACAAATAACCATGTATACCGAAAAAATAATCAAATGGGTATGGATCAAAATTTTATTTCGGTGTATTGTTTCGGTCACTTAGGAAACGGAAACGTTTCGACGTGTTTTGGAAACATAATGAAAAAAATAAAAAATTTAAGAATTATTTTTCTAAACATTGATTGAAATATATTAAAATATCTTGAAATACTTTAAAACATTTCGAAATAATTATGCAAATGCATTAAAATATTATAATATATCTCGAAACATTATGAAATACCTCGAAATATTAGAATTTCGATTCTATCACTGTTTCGTTTCGGTCTCCTTAAAATGAAAACCGTTTTGGACGTTTCGACCTTTTCGAAACAATATTTTGATCCTTGTAAATGGGTAAGGGACATGGCACACTAACGAGTCAAGGATGCTATGTTAGATCATCTAATTTAAAACTAATTGTCAATGAGTGGAGTAGTTCCTCAAGTATATAAATCAACTTTAGCTGATCCTAATTATTCGTTGTGGGATTCAAACTCTCTTTACCGAAACAATTGAGCAAAATGAACCAGTGTAGGATCAAAAGGAACGTAATTTGAATTGCAACAAAAATTCTAGCGAAAATAACATGCAGACCCATTTGGAGTTTGGTCAAATTAGGTTTATTGGTTGATCCCTTCCTTTTTGAACTTTTAGGAGAAGAACATCTATGTGACCACATATCTCACTTGATTCTCAATTTTCTCTATCAAATATTGTGATTTATATGGAGTTTTGATTGGTACAATGCTGACTCTTCTATAGTTCTACTCCTTTCCCTCCTCCCATCATACACTGCAATTGTATCCCTATACTTCATGTTTCTCATTGCACAAATTTGACCAATTGACGTATTGGTTTCTCTTTACTTTTCTTTTATTGATCTCCTGCTCCTTTTTTTTCCGGTGCTTGGGCTTCGATAATAAGTCATTCGTCTACGATGTTTGAGATTCCAATCGAAAGAAAAAGCTTTCTGGTTGAAGTGTGGATGTGTTTCACTAGTATGAATGTCTGTATAACTGAAAGAAGCTGAAAGGTCAAGTTTGACATTGAATTACCTGTGAATGTGCTAAATGACTGGGATAGTCCATGAAGAGGGTTGTAACATCCTCTGAGACTTTCTTTAATAAGTATAGAGACAATTCATTTGTGAGCTGAGTGGAGGTGATAAAAAATAATAGAGGCACCTTTTTGAGTATTTCCAAGAAAACATGGAATGAAAAATCAAGCTGCTTGATGGTTCCTTGAGGCTTTGAAGGAAATGGTTAGTGGAAGCTAGGAAATTTGATTTTGAAGGTTTGTATTGGCAATAGTTACTTTTTTGGGAGGCCTAGTTACAATGTTACTGACGCAGCAAATAGAGACTATGGTTATGCTAAAAGCAGCATCTAGAGAACTCTAGAACGGAGCAACAACTTCGAATCTCTCGGTCTACCTATGGGTTGCTTAGGATGGAAACATGAATGTGGCTGATATAAATAATTGGAGTAGAGTAGTCATCTGGGTAAGGTTTTGATTCATGGTGTGACATACGTAAGGTATTGGCTAAGTTTTGGAAGAGTAATTTTAAGATGATGCCTTTCCAACCTAAAAGAGCTATTTTCTTTTGTGAAAGTGATGAGTTGTGTGATAAAATGTGCAAATTTGAGAGAGATTGTTTAAAAGGACTTGTTATGGTGAGGTTGCGTAAGTTGACTCTGAATGCCACAGTTGTTCACAATAAGGTATCTTTCTTTGGAGGATGGATAGCTATAGATGCTTTCCATTTCATCCATGGTAATTAGAGGTGTTTTAGAAGATTGAGGATTGATGTGGGGGATTTTTGGAAGTAGATAATGACATATTGAGCATGTGAAATCTAATCGAAACATAGATTAGAGTGGATAAGCAATTTTAGGGCTTGTTTTGTCTTTGTTAAGCCTTGAATTGGACGAAAATGTCTTTAAAGTGAGAGTGAGGGAGAGGTAGACCTGGCAGAAGAATAGTGCTTGAAACAAATAGGATAGAAATTCTATGCATTAGACCTGATGTTGAAGATGATAGGCTTAGGTTTGCTAAGACATGTGGCAAGTGGGCAAGTGTTGTATGGTGAAACTGTAACTCTGGAAAGGAAGCAGAAAAAGTTTAATGGAAAATAGGAGACAAGTTTAACGAATTTGGAATAAGAATTAATAACGACAAGGCTTGAGATAATGATGCATTTAAGAAGGATTTGAATTTTAAAATGGGTACAAATGAGAAGAATGCAAAGTTGATGGATGTTAAAAGAGGGTGGATTTGGATCGGGGTGGAGTGTTATTAAAATCGGACTGGATATCAAGCCGACAGAGTGACAGGATCAATGGTTTACTGGTTCAATCGTTGGGTCAATTGGTCGGACTGGTTGAATAATAAAAAAATTATAAAACATAATAATTTAACTAAAAGAATACCAAAAAATATCCACAATGCATATAATTTGCTATAAAACAAAGAAACTAAATGTTTTCTTTTTATATAGAAAGGTCAAATCGCTGAGTGCAGGTATGTTGTACACGAAGAAGACCAAAAAAGAAGAAACTAATTACAACTTTCAAACAAAGTATAATGTATAGAAAGGGGAGAGTGAGAGAGTGGGGCTTACAATCACCGGAGGAGAGAGATCAAGTGGAGAAGCTGAGAACGAAAGTCGAGAAGGATGGTTGAGGACGCAAACTAACAGATCTAGCATCCTGAGTCGCAGTGCTTCGATGAAAGCTGGATAGTTGGTGCTAGAGAACTACTAATTTTAGTGAAAAATTGGGGATTTTCGTTTTTGTTTAATAATGAATGGCATCCGAACCATCCGGTTCACTAGTTTTGCCAAAAATCGGCTAGTTTTGCAGTTTTTTGACGTTTTAATTGCATAGGCTGTCCAATGTAGAAATTGGACTGGTTTAGCCTTCGGTTCTCTGGTCCGTTCCAGTTCTAATAACATTGCTAGGTGGTGTTCCTTGCTTGAACCAAGAGCCTAAGCTAAATGGTAAAATAGGCGGACTTGAAGGCAAGATTGTATGGATTATGTGGTTCTAGGTGGTGTTTGTGGTTGATTTCAATGTTACTAGATTTGTGCTTGAAAATATGAATAGGGGTAAGATAACTAGAAATATGATAGATTTTAATGAATTAATTATGGAAATGAAGAGATCCTTTTTTAAGTAATGCATTGTTTACTTGGTCAAATTTTAGGTGGAATTTGGTGTGAATTAGATTGGCCAAGTTTTTGTCTCTTTGGAGTGGGAGGAGTGTTTTCCTAATGTGAGGCAAAATGCTACTAGATTCGAGTACGGTTAGGTGGGAACCAGTTCCTTTCATGTCTGCAAACATGTGGCTAGAACATAACTTGTTTAGAAGAAGGTTTGGTGCATGGTGGAACGGTGTGTTGTGAATGGGGGGAGGGTATCAAGTTTATGAAGCAATTGAGCTACATTAAGAAAGAGGTGAAGCTGTGGATTATTGGGGCTTTTGGGGACATTAGAGTTGACAAGTATAAAATATGTACTTGAATTGAGGAGTTGGACTGGATTGAATGTGAAAGGGGATTTAATGAGGAATTGAGAAAGGTAAGGAGTACTCTTATAAACAAATTTGAGGAAGAAATCCTTAAAGA